TTTCCTTTGAGTCAGGAGAACATAACGGGGGAAGTTGAACTGCCAGCAAAAGTCCCTCTGCTGAACAGAAAAGTGGGCAAAAAGGAATATGAGAAGCAAAGCAAAAATGGAAAAAATTATGGTGGTCCCATCCCTTGAGTCATTTTAGCCAACAGGGGAAAACAAACATTTTTAAAGCCCCGAGGTAATATATCTTACAGTTTGGAGTGGGGTTAACAAATTTAGTGGTTCTTAATCTCTTTAATTCCTATGGTTTCATGACTCACTCCCATCTGTCTACTAGTGAGTCCTTCTTTTCACCAGTTTTTTCACACTTCTGTAATAACATCAAGGGATTTCTTTTTTTCTCCCCTTTTTATTTGTACTTCTGTGTGTACTCTCCTTTTAATATCTTTTGTCTTTTCATCCAATCTTCACCTCAAGGTAGGGCCTGAATTGTCCATTTCTTCTCCAACACGATCATGGTATCTTTCCCTGACTTAAGAAGAGACCTGCTTCCTCCTAAAGTCACATCTAGCGGATGAGACACATGTCAAATTAATGTCAAAAAAGCATTGCTTTCCAACGTTCTAATTCAAATCAATTTGGACTTGATAATTTTAATGAAGGTATTCGCTTTATTAAACAGTTTGCAATCAATATCATTCTCAAATTTTTGTTGTGTTGTTCTGGATATACTATTAACCTACAAGTTTCCAAGGATGGGATTGTCTGGGGACACGAAATGAAATAAATACCTTTTAAATATATCTTCCTCTTACCCCTATGTGTTCCTATATATATGTGTGCGTGTGTATGCATGTGTGTGTATATGTGTCCCTATATATATGAGTGTGTACATGTGTGTGTATGTAAAGTCATATGAGTTTACATACACACACCCCAAAAACCCAGGGTATTAATCTAGACTAATGCTTTAGAACCTGTTTCACTCTCAAGCAGAAGTAGCCAAACCATTGCAAACATGTGTTGGGTGAAAACAAGTTTGGTTGGCTACAGACAAAGGCTTATTTTTTAAGCACAGATGGTTGAATGGTTGCCTCCTCCAACCGGTTGCCTGCAAATGAAAGACAGATTTCTGTTTCTAATCTATGCAAATATCTTCCTCTGCAGGGCATCACAAAGACTAACTGTTTTGTGTCCCATCCTGCAGATCCCAGGTGCTCGCAGAGATGCCAAAGCCCATCTCCACCTGAGATGCCTGGTAACTCAGATACCAGTCTGATGACTGGAGAGTTAGTCATTAACCCGCTCCTAATGAACACTGTTGGGGCCTTCTGTGAAACATTCCTCTGGAATCCTGCCCCACCGCCACTGCTTCCCCTCTTGGCTGCTCTGCCTGGAAGGCAGTTTCAATACACAGTATGGACTTCAGATGCTTCTAAAACCTCCCAAGAAGGCCCAGATTCCCAAAGGCTCCTAACGACTGTTAGTAGCATTCTTCGCCTTGTGTTCGGTTCATCTATTCATGTCTGACACCAAACTCATAAAACTTGATCATTAAAAAAATATTATTCTGTGCAAACCACATCTCCTTTCTACTCCAGGCCCTACACCTACACCCCATGGTGTGTCTCGATGAATCACACCTGGGTCGTTGTTGGTGGCCCTCGACCTTCCCAAGTACGCGTAATTCCCCTTTTCATTTCCTTCTATCAACTTTCCTTTCTATACTTACAACACTTCTTTCTCTAATTTCTCCATCTCCCCAGCTTAAGTCTTTCACTTGATCTGACACCCCTTGGCACATTCCAGCTTGAGGGCCCCTTGGGGGCAACAAAAATTTCCGTGACACCGAAGCACATACCCAACTTCTCAACGCTAATCCAGCTCCCAACTTTCAACAGCCTTTGCCATGAAGAGCAGGTTATACCTGAAATCTGCATAGTTTAGTTCCAATGTTTAAGTCTAAAAACGTCTTTTCAAAGTTTTAAAATTTTTTCTTTGTTAGTGTTTCTGACCAAATTGACAGTGACAGGGTTTGCTTCAAAATCCTGTGTTGGAAAACACTTCTCTTCCTCCTTATTAACCTTTATCTTAAATGAACCAGGCTAACTGAGCAAAAAGAAATTCTTTAAAAAAAGGAAATTAGTCCTTCCTGGTCCCCACGCTTAATCACCACCACCACTAAAACATCTCACACTCTATGCCTCGGAGATTTAAAGACCTGTTGTTTCAATTTATGAATGCAAATATTGATAGTCAAATAATGCAGCTTGAAGTTTACTTACCTAGAAAAATCTAAAAACTGGAAAGAGTTTTAGAGGTTAACTATTTCATGGATTCCCTAGTTTGGATAAATATCAGAACAACCACCAGAGTAGTACTGTTTATTTTAAATACATCCTCTTGATCCACAGCCCTAGACACTACAATTCAGACTTCTGGTATGGTTCTAGTGTCCATATTTATAATAGATGCTCTTGTAAGTATGACACGGCAGCCCCTGGTCTGTTTGAGAACCAATGATCTGTTCCAACACCCTACACAATATGGCGGCCTCCTCTACGGCGCACCCCCAGGCTACCTGGCCTACGTGACAACATTTAGAGACCCGCGCTCTCACCCTTTTATGTCTTGTTGTTCCATTTTCTATATGGCTTTTAGTTACACGGAGACTGTGCTCCTATGTTGAGCCAAAATCTTTCAACTCCTTGAAACTTCACGTACTGGAGGCTCTAACTTTGTGCTCCAGAGCTAACACAGAATTCCTCCTCCTACGAAAGTCCTCAAATATCTAAAGGCAGCTATTGTGCCCCTAACAAGACTCCATTTTTCCAAGCTTAAACAACCCTTCTCCTTTGACTTCATACAGCACAGTTTCCGAGTTCCTCTCCATTCCAACTACTCTCCCACAATAACAGGCTTTACGGAGTTAAGTCAGTTTAATTCATGAATGCAAATATTGGAGTTAAGTCTAAGAGGTAACAACACTTCATTTTTCTTACGGACTCGACTTTTCTCAATATGCACTAATTTCCAGTCCGTGCTTCACCCTCGCCACTCATCTCGCATTTAATGGTCCGAGAGCCAAGAATCAGCAAGTACTTATTAACCCAATGCTGTCTTCCTAACACTGCGTCAGGTACCCAAGGAGGATTTAAAAGCCAGCGGAAATTGTCCCATTCTGAGGAGTTAATAATTTCTTACACAGGAAGGACTCGGATAACTGAAATAACTTGAAAACAGTGCACGACAGAATGCAAAAGAGCCCTTTATGTGAGTATGGCATGAAAGAACAAACACCAGGTTTTCAGGGTCAGGCTGTGAGCCAACTCGTGGCCTCTGCCTGCAGACGCACTATCTATGTAACAGCAGCTTTTAATTTAAAAAATATATATTTATTTATCACCATAAAGTGTATGACAAAATTTCAAGAAGTGTATCCTTATTTCGGAAATCTAAAATCTAGAAAACACACAAGTGAGAATCAAGTCGAATACTGTTCCTCCTTCAAGCATGCCGGTGGCATTGCTTCCCAAGCACCCTGAATGCCAAGATCTGAGTAGAAGGTGAAGAGCAGAGACGGCTGATGTGATTCCCTTTCCTACCGCAAAGATCCATTGGATGAGGAGAGACTCCCCAGGGATTTTAATGGAGAAACTCTGATCGATAAGTGAACTATACTGACACCAACAAAAATTGACTTGTTTCATTTGCTGAATCCATACTTTATGAACCGATACAAATCCCTCACTTACAGAGGTGGGGGGAAAACATCACCTAAAGGATGACAGGTGATTTCTCTGAGTTAACCCTTTGCACTCGGATGTCGAGTGTGACTCGACACGGTTAGCAAAAATTATAGAGATTAAAATTACTCTTTGAATGTATCGATAATTTGAAATATAAAAAAAAAATCCAAATAAATAAGTTTGTATGAAAAGAAACTCCAGTTTTTTATTCTACTGCTGCGCTTTGTAAAATCTGGGGTATTTAAAAAATTAAATCCTGAATAGAATAAAGGAATGGAGAAAAAAAGCAAGCGAGTGCAAAGGGTTAAAAGCAGCCTATGAGCAACTGGGTAGGACCAATGCCCAGGTGTCTCTCTACTGCTGCCTCCTCCTCTCCTCTTATGTGACAAAGGACAATCAAAACTCTTGCTCTCTCAACACTGTCCTCCTTAATTTTACTTCCAACTTGAGTTACCTTTCCAATTCTCAAATATAAAGTTTGATGGTACTTTGTGTTTGGGGATATTTTGAGGAAAAGAGTAGACAAAACAGTATAGGTGAATAATTTTTTTTTTATTAAATTCTAGCATACCTAATTTAACCTACAGTCTCCAACTAATATTTCTCTGCCACCAGACACGAAATGCTGCCTGGTTCAGGATCACTGCTGCCTTACCAGCTTGACAGGGGACTGCTGGGGTTATAGCTACATGGATTCAACCAAAACGCTAGAACTGCAGAGCAGGCCGGGCGCGGCGGCTCACGCCTGTAATCCTAGCACTCTGGGAGGCCGAGGCAGGCAGATCGCTCGAGGTCAGGAGTTCGAAACCAGCCTGAGCGAGACCCCGTCTCTACTAAAAATAGAAAGAAATTAACTGACCAACTAAAAATATATGTACAAAAAATTAGCCGGGCATGGTGGCGCATGCCTGTAGTCCCAGCTACTCGGGAAGCTGAGGCAGCAGGATTGCTTGAGCCCAGGAGTTGGAGGCTGCTGTGAGCTAGGCTGACGCCATGGCACTCACTCTAGCTTGGGCAACAAAGTGAGGCTCTGTCTTATAAATAAATAAAGTGAGGCTCTGTCTTATAAATAAATAAATAAATAAAAAAATAAAATAAAATAAAATAAAATAAAATAAAATAAAATAAAATAAAATAAAATAAAGCCACAAAGCAAACAGTAAATAATCCGCAACTGTCGCCCCCCCCCCAAGTACACATACCCCCACCCACACACACCCTACATCAAGTAGCTCATCTACTTCACTGGAAGCTCCACAGTTGGTCCACACCCTTATACGGAACACAGGAGGAAAATGCACCTACCTTGTGGCCTCCTGCTGAAGCCATGACACATTTGGCACATAGAACATGACTCCGAAGAAGAGCAGAGGCTCATTAGCGAATTTGTCCAGATGTTTCTTCAGGGGTTTCTCCAGCTCCACCCATCGTGCTTGCTGGCTCTTGCTGAGAAACCAAAGGCCAAAGTAGTGCGTCTAGATAAAAGGGTAAATAAAATAGCATCAGTTGCTGCTTCCCACAAGCACCCCAAGACCACACAGGCAGCAAGACTCCAGCACCTTGTGTCACCTCCGCTTCCCCAGCCCATCCACAAGGCTCCAGCTTTTACATTCTGACTTTGGGACAAATTAAAAGAAACCCCATCCACACAATACCGTAACCTACGTTGAGTATCTAGACGCAGTATTCATACCCACCCACTTGCTGCTGTTTGTGTCTGTGAGCACCCGTGCACCTATGTTAGGTAAGGGGAGTCATGCAGGGTGGGGGGACTGGGCTGACTTTCTGAGATCTGAAGCCTGACTCGCCCGCGTGCCTTCCACAAGCCTCAGGATCTCACGTGGAGCACGCTGGCAAAAGTCAACACAGTTCTCGCACCTGCAGCAGAGTAACTTATTACTCAACACCTAAGACAGAACTTTCTGCCAGCTAAAAGCTTCCGCATTGCAGAATATTTTCACACAGTACTGTATTTTCACACAGTACCAGATTGCAACCGAAGATTTTTTTTTTCCCCTCACTCTTTGTCAGCGGTAGTGAAGTATTACACTTTAAACAGCATCGCTCTCTACCATTTTATTATACATGAACTGCAGCAAATCTCTCCCCCATCTAGCTTTGAGAGGGGAAGGAGCTCCCCTTCGCAGCTGCCACAGGAGCCCCTGGTGGCTGTTCTTGGCAGATTATGGTGGGATTTGATAGATGAAAGTAAGATTTTTCACCCTTAGACTTGAAGCCGCAACCAGTTTAGTTTTGAACAACATGCTAAATGATTAAAACAGGTACTTTTATGCACCCAATCCTGTCTTTATATTAATTCATGCTAGGATTGCAGGATTAGCACAACAATCACCAAAAAAAAAAAAAAAAAAATAGATGGCTGCTTTTGAAGCTTCTTTTATATTTCAATTACAGCCTAGAATGGTTTACAGCACACCTGGAAATCTGCCTTCAAAAGAAGGTTTTTGTTGCAATGTTTGATTTCCAAAGGCAATCTTACACTGACGTTCCCGCTCCAGCTGGCTACCCCTTCGACATCACCCCAGATCAATCCCTACCAAACCCAACCAAAGTCTCCAGTGAAGCAGTGGCTCTGACTTTACTAGAATACCAGACGTGTCCTTGCCTACATAAAGCTGCAGACCCAGATGCTTTAAAGCAGGCGTCCTCAAACTGCGGCCCTCGGGCCACATGCGGCCCGCTGAGGACATTTATCCGGCCTGCCGGGTGTTTTTGCCGCCGCTGCCTGTCCTGCTTAGCAGCCGACTCGTCCCGGGCCCACAGTGCGCATGTGTGGAATGTGCGCCGCCCTCTCCAACGGTCTGAGGGACAGTGGACTGGCCCCCTGTTTAAAAAGTTCGAGGACCCCTGCTTTAAAGGATATTTTAAATGGATTTACTTTCAGATGGGAGGAATTATTTCATCAGCTTTCCTCCACGATGTTCCAAAGGGCAAGTTCCCATCAGCAATCTATGCATTTCTTGAGCAACAAAAAGGCCAACAACCAAAGCCAAGGTTATACCAAACAACTTAGATGAACTTGCTTGAGCGAATCCTGACCCTGTTGCTCATTTCCTAGCCTTGGCAGTGCACTAGCTGTGCTGACTGTGATGGCGCAGAAGAAATGAAATGCGGATGAACAGAAAGAAAACAGCCTTCAAAGTCAGTTCATCTCCCAAGCCTCCCAGAGTTACCAAGTTACCAAGCCTCCCAGACTTGCAGAGATTTCTCAACTGCAAAATGGGGAGGATGATTGCAACTAGTAAATGCAAAGCAGGCAAGCCTCGTGAAGCTTTTTCATCAGGGCTACTGGCATCCCTATCAACACCCTCGAACTAGACAACAGAGGTTATCTGGAAGTAAATGAGAAGAAGCAGGCAAAAGTAGAAGCTGGGGTATCTATCTATTAAGTAACAAATATTTTAAAAGTATAAGAAAAAAATAATCACAAAGCTGTGCTTTCCCTAAGATTTTCTTGAGAGTCTCACTATAGGTATTCAGGGACACTGAACATCACTCTCATGCTGTCCTTGGGGATCTATGACAGAGGCTTAAGCTAACGCTAAAATGAGGTGATCTGGGTACTCCATTCAACGAACTTGTCAGAAAAGGGTCCAAGGCGGTTCTGCATTACACTGATTCCTTTATGGAGCTCAGTGCCGTATAAGGGTAGCCACTGTATTTTGGATGACTAGGAGTGAGTTTGCATACAATAAATTAGGGAATATATGTAAACTGTAATTTGCTATATTATTATTGTACTTGGAAAAGAGCCATTTTATAAGCATGAGTTGGGGGGGTTAAGCTTCATGATAGCTTAACAGGCTAACCATGATTTACTTTTTTTTTTTTTGAGACAGAGTCTCACTTTGTTGCTCAGGCTAGAGTGAGTGCCATGGAGTCAGCCTAGCTCACAGCAACCTCAAACTCCTGGGCTTAAGTGATCCTTCTGCCTCAGCCTCCCGAGTCGCTGGGACTACAGGCATGCGCCACCATGCCCGGCTAAATTTTTCTATATATATTAGTTGGCCAATTAATTTCTCTCTATTTATAGTGGAGACAGGGTCTCGCTCTTGCTCAGGCTGGTTTCGAACTCCTGACCTCAAGCAATCCGCCCGCCTTGGCCTACCAGAGTGCTGGGATTACAGGCGTGAGCCACCATGCCTGGCCCATGATTTACTTTTGACATTTGGGAGTTACTTTCGTGGTACATACTTCATTCAAAGTAGTAGCATTCAAATTACACAGAGTTCACAGTAATTGCATAAACATTCTACTATCGATTTTCAAAAAAAATTAAAATTCTTATTGCTCCTGTGCCTTGAAGGCTAATAGTCAAAATTTCCTTTTCTCATTCTCATCCATCCAGATCATTAAGCCAGGCCAGAACTCCTCCCCAGAAAACACCCAGAGGAAAAACATAAAATACACATACATGCAAATGCACGCACATGCACACAGACACTCCTGCACACACGTGCATATGCTGAAAAGAAAGCCGATGAGGTACAAGAGAAATAGTATTCAGTTAATAATCTTGACCCATACTTAAACTGATAGGGCTCTAAATAACAAAGTAAACCGCTTCTAATAGAGAAACCTAATCCATGGCATAAGTTTTTTTTGGTTGTTGTTGCTATGATATTGCATCTTCCACAGGACACAGAATATTTCAGAGTGACTCACCATGCCACGATCCAGTGAAAAATTACACAGCTACTCAAGAAAAGGGGCTTCCCCGTGCAGGTGGAATTGGCAGGGGCAGATAATCTGGAGGACATAGTTTCAACCTACTCATGGCCACAATGTCCTAAGTTTAGAAGAAGTTCTGAATTCAGTTACCTAGCAGGAAGGAAAGTCCATTTACGAGATCCCCTTGCCCACACTGTGTTTTGAAGCTACACCCAAAGTAACCTCCATTGGCACCCTACTTGTCTCATTGTTCCTCTAGCTGTATCCCTACTCTGGAGGAGAAAGACCCTGCGCCTCAAAGTTCCTACCCTGCTCTCTTCAAGTTTACAACACAGCACAAGTTTATCCTGTCATGTCTGCACAGTGCCTCACAGGAAACGGAATCTGAGCCTAAGTGCTCATTGCAACTAACATGTGCACCAATCAACTTCCTATGTATTGTCCAAGGGACTGTTAATCCCATCAAGCCCAGCTGAGACCACACCAGGCTGGTTCATAATTAACTTGCCAGTTGAAACTAGCTCAATTTCGGAAGCTGAGCTTCATTGCTAAACACTGCCACGTGGTTGAGGAAAATGGGGGGTGCCTGATTCCAAATAGAAACCACCTTCTCCATGACCAAGACAGGAGGAACTCATCGTAGTACCTGAATAAATGCCTGAAACATTTGTTTTGTTTATGTCTCAGGCTCCAAATGCAAGCCAGGCCCATTTAATCCTCATGATACTTCTGGGCAAGGTATAAATTCCATTTTATTTCTCTAGTTTTATTAAGAAAACGAGAGCCGACAACAGCTCTGTTGCCATGAGTTTTGCAATGAGTATATTGCAATGATGAGAATAGAAGACACAAGAACCAGCTCCCAGGGACAGAAACCACATCTCTGAACTAACTTCGAAAAATGCACGACGATGAAACAAAGTAGGGAAAGCCACATTGAAATGTCATCTTTATGTGAGTAGTTTCCCCATTTATTTGGTTCAACAGGGGAAGCATAAATTTATGCATGTACTCAAAAATCGCTAGTTTCATCAGTGGCAGATTGGTGTGTGGATACTGTAGTGTCAAAGTGTTCATCTTTTTTTTTTTTTTTTTGGTTTTTTGTTTTGTTTTGTTTTTCTGAGACAGAGTCTCACTTTGTTGCCCAGGCTAGAGTGAGTGCCGTGGCGTCAGCCTAGCTCACAGCAATCTCAATCTCCTGGGCTCAAGCAATCCTACTGCCTCAGCCTCTCAAGTAGCTGGGACTACAGGCATGGGCCACCATGCCCGGCTAATTTTTTCTCTATATATTAGTTGGCCAATTAATTTCTTTCTATTTATAGTAGAGACAGGGTCTCGCTCTTGCTCAGGTTGGTTTCGAACTCCTGACCTTGAGAAATCCACCCGCCTCGGCCTCCCAGAGTGCTAGGATTACAGGCGTGAGCCACCGTGCCCGGCCCAAAGTATTCATCTCTTGAGATAATGAAAAGATTCTAGGGAATGATGGTCCTGAAAAATAGTTTCAGGGGCAGGAGGGTATGGGAAATCTATGTACCTTCTGCTCAATCTTGCTGTGAACTTAAAACTGCTCTAAAGAAATAAAGTCTACTGAAAAAAATAGTGTGGGATGTTTTTCATTTGTTCATTTGTTAACTCCCACATTAGCTATTAGCAGGAAAAGATTTTTTTTTTGAGGGTTTTTTCCACTTTTGTGACCAATGGCATAGCTTTAATGCTATTTATAAGGGTTGTACACACAGTTTTGGCAATTATAAGGGATTAAACCCATGATCTTATCTCCAGC